TTTAATTGATATTTGTCACAGGAGTTTCAGTAAACGAGTAACTGAAACACTAATATCACCAAGCTTAATCTTCTAAGAATCTTTATATAAAACCATAACGAAGATTTCACTGGTTTAGACACGTGCTGCATTCGTTTGGCAGGCGCCCCCAATACCGCACTGTCAATAATGATAATCCGCGGTGGGAGAAACTACGTAGAGATTGAGAGATGTGGACGGGGTATACCAAGGTTTGTCTTCACTAATTTGATGTGCGTGATAAAAAAGGCAGTGGTAGGTAACTTCACTCGTAAAGCAGAAGTTCTGGGCTAAATTCCCACCAGGCGTCCGTAAACCACTAGCGTTCCTCCATTGGTGTCTGTAGACGATCACTTCGGCGGTTAACGATGAATAAATAGGTGTTTCACTATATAAGCGGTGGCGAGCGATTAGTGACGATGTCGGGGACAAGGCTAGTCTTAGCTTAGCAAGTGATCCTTGTGAAACAGAAATCCACCGATATTTCAGGGAAACATCGTAGTACGCATGAATCTGGTTCGCCACTAAACAGTGTTCTTCTCAAGGCAGCACTTCTTTGTGCAATGGTTGGAACGGTGGCCCCTTAAGAAAGTCGAGTAGTACCTCGGATACCGTTTGCGGTGTACTGCTAGGGTTCTTCATGGAGGGTATGTCATTGATGGACATCTGGGAGACTAAGCAAGTTTGAGTGATAGAGGGTAAACCTTCACAACAAACTTGCACCATCAGGATGCAGGGGAAGGAAAACTATTGACCACCATTTTAATATGATTTAGATTCGGAAAACACATTAAGTTAATTTGCGTTACAAAATATGTTCATTAGCTGGCAAAACGAAGAGGCTTTGCAAATGGGGCAGCAAACACAACTCAGCGTAGCCACACGGCACTGCGTAAAACATTAGCTTTCAAAAGAGGACCGGATGATGAGACGCACATGCATATTCGAGGAAGAGAACGTCGTGTAGAGTTCGTCATACACTAAATCTGTGATGACTGGATAGCCTAAACGTGAAAAATAGAATCAGGGAAAGCAAGGAGAGATGAAAGACAATGTCATTTATAAGATCGTTTGCTATACCATCGGACGCCATCATGAGAGGATAACTCAGAAGTAGGTGACTCATATTTTATTTTCTACGGGAAAATTTGAAGATCATGTCGAATAATCACAATTATTGATATTGTATGTTGCATAGAGAAGACCATCATGATGAAACTGGACTTTGACTTAGTGTGATCATTTGCGTACCTTCACAACCGTGAAAGCCAAACAGAATAGATTCTCAAAACCACAGATCCAATTACGATTAATAATGTCAATGGGTAGAGGCACCGTTCAGCTTTTTCTGCCCCCGGAGAGGCCACTCCAACAATCTAGCGGTGGAGAAAAACGTTAGATGAACGTAAGAGCGGGCGACCCGGAATTCTGTGGTGAGTGGATCAGTTAGTTTTGCTTATTATCGGACTCCATAACGGTCAACTTATCACTCTGGATTCCTTACGTGATGGCTGCGTTACGAGTAGAATAACGTCTGATATCGGTTCACACTACAGACTTCTGTTATCACCCGCCGTTGATAGGCATCACACCTTAATGAACCTGGAAACGTAGATTGAATTCTACGGTCCGACTGCTTGGACATGAATCCTCAGCCACCGGATGCTGCAAATCCCTGAATAAAACGGTCGATTGTTTTCTCATATCGAGTCTCGGAATGTCTACGAACTATCGCATCACCAGCCTTGTATTGTTTTGCCTTGTTTTGTCACCTCGCACTGCATCACATAGCTTAGTCACAGCGAGATTTTTCTGCCCAGCATGAACTGTCTCCAATGCATGCACATAAAACCAGTGTGTCTACATATATAGAATATGTAAATATACATAAGCATAAAAACTATTGCCTTGTCTTTCAGTCATTCATTCCGCCCCTGTGCATCGTTCCATGTGCAACCTCGTCCACATTACACACCAATGAAAGAAGCCCAGACTTTTCAGTCATTGTCACCTGTTTATCACATTTGGGTACAGGACTGTGTATCATGGTCATGCTGTTGATGCTCGTAATCACCATTATTATGCAATCGATACGGAATACATGCTTTTCCCGTTTCCATGATATAGTCAATGAGGGAATGAGGACGTGACTGTTGTATAGATCATGAGCTCAGATAAACTGGAGATGAATGGCACGGATCATCCCGCCAAGCTCTATCATTCGGTGATGGACAGATAGTATTTCATATCGGGGCTCGGTAATTCGATCTGAACTTGAAAACAGCTTGGATTGTTCATCTCTCACCTTCATGGGCTGTCTCTCTCACCCCGGCTAGAATATGTACTCCAGAAATTTCAAAGTGCATTTCCATCCTGCAACACTGGCTACTATTCACTACATGGTTGCTACAGTCATTTGGTATTGTAAAAAGATCATCACTGGACCCCTCTTCAATAAACTCTTGACCCTCGCACACCCACTGTGCTGCTGTGTTTGTGTTGAAGAGATGATCGTTTTAAATTTCAGACTACGAAGCGATCAATTCAGGGAGTAGTTATCGTCAAGCCCCGTACCGATGCTTCGAACACGTCTCGGCCACATACGCCCACCTCTCCACAGGGGTGGTTTCAAATCGACCACATGAGCTACCGCTGGCGAGGATCCATTTAAAACTGCTGCTCCCACTGGCCAACATACGTGGACACAGAGCATGCTCTGTTACTACCCAGATTCTCCCTGCGCCTGGTAAATAATCACAATGATGTAACCGGAAAGGAATGCCTACAATACAATGTAAGAGATGATTGTGAGTCAGCCTTAGAAGCGGAGCTCTCTCATCCTCTCTCAGTTCAATCACGCGCCGAATTAATTGAGGAATACTGGACGTTAATCAAGGAAGTCACCTAAATATCATTGCGAACAACGATGGATGCCGGATAGCGATTGGAACGATGGATCTTTTCAACCTCAGCTACCCTGTTGGACACTAGTACGACTATTCCTCTACACGCCGAATTCTATAGCGCGCAATGCCCTCAAACGCCAGCTCATTAGGAGTCTGAGAAATGCCCGCTAAAAGTGGTGGGCAGCACGGTGGGGAAGACTGCTACCATTGGTAACAGTGTTAATCGTTTCCACCCAATTAGGATCATGGGATCAAGGAAATTAAAGGTCAAGTAATTGAGGAGTTCGCCGACACATTGATAATTATTCAGTCACGCCGTCTTGAGAAATTGGTACAGTATTTTACGCCACAATCAAATTGGGCCCCACCGATGGTAGACCTCCCAATTTCTGCTTCAATTAGTAACCAATATTTAAATTGTCTGGGCTTCAGCTGGTATGGCAAGCAGTAGAAAAGAGTCATTGATTTGCCACGTTACTATACACAAGGACTCAGTACGAAAATAACAGACTGTTTGTTCTCCCGGATTTATGTGCTAATACATTGCTTGAGTATAACATTTTACAACAACAAATGCTGATGA